GCCTCATCTCTTTTTTTTCCCCAACTTTTTTATTGTGATTAAGTGGTTACATAATTTCCCAAATTTCATAGTATTGTGGAATAGTGATGCTCAGTTAAAGTCACAAACACATTCTAACTTTCCTGGAGCAAATTGTCTATCATGATCTATAACATTTATGAGTCTATGAGTTTTGTGATATAGTTATTTCTTCCACATTGGGTGGTATGTACATTTCTTTTGTTTTGCATAGCATCAGCTGTTCCCTCTTTCCCACTTGTTCCCTCCCTCCCATCGCTTCATTGAGTTGCTTAGTTCATTTTGGTCAATGTCCAGTGCAGCTGATGGGTCCCACTGTTGTATGTTTTCCCCTGATTCCCTCTAGTTCTGTGTCGTCTTCCTGGTTCCCCTCTGGTGTACACATATATACCATACATGTGATCAGCAGTATGGGGTTATTTAGTAGTGATTTGACCAGATGAGTGGAAGTCCTTTGTTTCTTAAGTCCTGTTAATTTTGTCATATCACCTAACATTTTGGATTTAACATCCACTTATCAGGGAGACCATGTGCAGTTTGTCTCTTTGCTCTTGGCTTACCTCGCTCAACATGATTTCTTCTAACTCCATCCAGTTCCCTGCAAATGCCATTATTTTGTCATTTCTAATGGCTGCATAATATTCCATTGTGTATAGATACCACAATTTTTGGATCTATTCATCTGTGGTGGGACATATGGGTTGTTTCCATATCCTGGCTATTGTGAACAGTGCTGCAATAAACATGGAGTTGCATGTGTCCTTGTATACTGGCTCCTGTTGTTCAGGATAGATGCCTAGAAGTGGTATGACTGGGTCGTAAGGGAGGTCAATATTCAGCTTTCTGAGGACCCTCCAGACTGCTTTCCAAAGTGGTTGTATAAGTGTACATTTCCACCAGCAGTGTAATAGGGTTCCTCTTTCTCCGCATCCCCTCCAGCATTTGTCGTTGGCTGACTTGAGGATGTGGGACCTTCTGACTGGGGTAAGGTATCTCAAGGTTGTCTTTATTTGCATTTCCTTCACAGCCAGGGATGGTGAACATTTCCTCATGTGTTTCTTTGCCATTTTTATCTCTTCATCTGAGAAGTCTCTCTTTAGTTCCTTTGCCCATTTAGTAATTGGTTTGTTAGGTTTGGGAGGGATTAGTTTCTTGAGTTCCCTGTATATACTGGATATTAACCCCTTGTCTGATATATTGCTGGCAAATATTTTTCCCAGTTAGTTGGTTGTCTTTCTAGCTTGGTTGCAGTAGCTTTAGCTGTGCAGAAGCTTTTTATTTTATGGTAGTCCCATTTGTCGAGTCTCTCTCCAATTTGTTGTGACCCTGGGACTCTGTTCAGGAAGTTCCTTCCTGTGCCTATAAGTTCAAGTGTCTCTCCTACTCTGTCCTTCAGAAGTTTCAGAGATTCAGGTTTAATGTTAAGGTCTTTAATCCATTTTGAGTTGATGTCGGTGCATGGTGATAGGCTGGGGTCCACTTTTAGTCTGGTTGAAGAGGCTGTGTTTCTTCCATTGTATGTCTTTGTAAGCCTCATCTCTTAAAGAGCCCATCACTTTCCAGTCTTGCCAGAGAAGGGACCAAGTCAAATAAACCTCTCGGGGACACTTAACCACCAAGCTTTTGCAGAACCTAGGCCTTAGAGGGCCCTAAGTAAATAGGATTGAAATGTAAGCAAAGTGGAAAAGTACTAGGGGCATGACTCATGTAGCAGTCAAGCTTGAAGCCCCAAGTTCAAATCCTAATACTGCCCCACCTGAAAGAATAAACTTTACAGGAATAGTAAAGGTGAAAGGAGTATTATGAGACCATGCAGCATGATCAGAGAGCAAGGAACTGTTGACCTCGGCACCTGGTCCAGTTGCTTCTACTTGGTAACTGATCCATCAGTGTCTATTGAGTTGATGAAGAAATGAAATAAAATTATGACCACTATTCTGTGTTTGCTGTACTGGAAGCAGTACTACGGAGCTTGAATTATTTTCCAAATTCTAATGACATTCTTTAAGCATCAGTTTGTTCTCAGCTGAACCTGGTTCCTGAGAAAGGACACAAACTTAAGTGTGTGTGTGTTTGTATGTGTGCTGGTATAACTGAGGCTTGACCTCAGGGCCTGGGAGCTGTCGCTCAATCTTGTTAAGCCATAGCTTCATTTCCAGATTTTTGCTGATTAATGGGAGATAAGTCTCAAGGACTTTCCTACCTAGGCTGGTTTTGAGCTGCAATCCTCAGATCTTAGCCTCCTAAACAGCTGGGATTATAAGAGTGAGCCATTAGGGATGCCTAGCTAAGGAAATAGACTTTCAATGGCTCAGAAGTCAGCTCTCAGAAGATTAGATGCCATGGCCCCAAAGAAGGAAATGCCAAAGGGGTGTTGTTTGCCTTGGACCTGCTGACATGTTCCATCTTTGAGAGAGGTTCTTCAGTAATTCTCTGTATTGGAAATTGAGTTTGGAGATTCAGTCTGCATTTCTACCAGCAAGTACAGTCATGCACATACAATGACGTTCTGAGGCTGGTCCCATAAGATTTTAATGGAGCTGAAAAATTTCCTATTTGCCTAGTGACCAAGTAGCTATCACAACATCCTAGCGTGACCCATTACTCACCAGTGTGTGGTTACCATGGTATAAACAAACCTGCTGCTTACAACCACTAACACTACATGATTGATAATGCACCACCATGTTACTGCCTTTTGTATTTACTAGGCTGAACTTAAAAAATTATTTTGTGTGTACTTTCAAGTATTAAAAATGTTTGTAGGTGGGGTACAGGTGGCTCATACCTGTAATCCTAGCTACACAGGAGGCTGAGATCTGAGAATCCTTTTTTTTTTTTTTGGGTGGCGTTGTGGGGCCTGAACTCTGGGCCTGGGCACTGTCCCTCAGCTCTTCAGCTCAAGGCTAGCACTCTACCACTTGAGCCACAGCGCCACTTCCAGCTTTTTTTCTTTTTGCTTATGTGGTGCTGAGGAATCGAACCCAGGGCCTCATGCATGCAAGGGAAGTGCTCTACCACTGAGCCACCTTCCCAGCCCGATCTGAGAATCTTGGTTCAAAGCTAGCCTGGGAGACAAATCTAAGAGGACTCTTATCTCCAATTAACCAGTAACAAGCTAAAAGTTTAGGTGCAGCTCAAGTGAGAGAGTGCCAGACTTCATCTAAAAAGCTAAGCAGGAGTGAGTGTGAGGCCCTGAGGTCAAGCCCTAGTACTAGAACAGAAAAGGTACTATGCAAGATGGTGTGCATTGGACACTTACTGCATCTCTGGATTGCATCATTTTCTCTCTGATTTAATCTTGCATTTTGTCCATTATAGTCCTAGGAACAATCTCACCTATCTGTACACAATTTTTTATACCATCTAGGTGTGCAGTGTGTGTGATCTGGGTAGGCATACTCCAGGATACTTCACACAGCTAACCGTGCATCTCCCAGAATGCATTCCGGTCCGAAATCCACAGTAGCTGTTAACCTTCACTCTCCAAAGCTTGGAGAAACAGGGGGCTAACAGACTTTGAGAGATGGAAGAGAGCCCCAGGGTGCCAGGCACGGGGAAGGCAGGTTGTCTTCCACCAAAGTGGCTGAAGGCAGGGCAGGCAGCCTGTACCCAGCCAGTCAGAACCAGGCAGAAGGTGCTGGATAAAGTTTCCGTTTCCTAAAACAGATTTTTTTTTTCTCCTTTTACAGTGAAATTGGAACAGTCTTGGGAAAATGGGACAGGTGTCCCCAATCAAGAGACAAGACTGTTTACCCAACTCAGCCCAGGGGCCCTAAGGAAGGGAAGACTTGATACAAAGAAAATACAAAATTTCCAATAAAGAGGTAGTGCTTGCCAAATGGGGACCTGGGTACCCGAGTCCAGGCACGTGGGCTGCCTGGTGGACAGGCCAAAGTTTACTGTGGACATGAGATTCTCTGCATTTTCCAGCCTGTAGGAAAGCATGTGTAGCTCACGTCTTCTTAAATCCCCTTACCTGGTCTTCTAAGCCCAGTGCGGGGTGCTGGTGGGTTAGTAAGGAGAGGCAGCCCTTCTTTAAGGGAAGCGAGGGGTTGACTCTCCACTGAGTCTGGGTTTCCGAGGCCCCAGAGTACCCCCCCTTCCCCCCTCCCCCAAGAGACAGGTCCAGTGCGAGCCAGGCCGCGCAGCAGCAGCAGGGCCGCGCAATCCCGGGTCAGCGCAGCCCTTGCAGTCCCGTGTCCACCCACCACACCGCCCCGAGAGTTCGGCTCCCAGAGGGAGCAAGGGCAGCGGCGGGGCCGGTCCCTGAGCAATCCGAGCCTCCCCAAGCTCTTTCTTCCGGCGGTCCCGAAATTGACGCGAGGCCGATTTTGGTGCAATGCGAATTAGCTCCAGCTGTCTTCTTGGGAGGGAGGGAGGGAGGAACTGCCTGGCTGGGGAAGGGCTGGGAGGGGGGAAGCAGCGATTGATCGGGGCTGGGGTCCACACCCAACATTGCCTCCCGTTGCCATAACAACCAGCCTCCCATGCTCTTCCTCCCCCCCCCCCCCCCGGCGCATGGTGGGCTTGGGGCTACTGACCCCGGCCAGGGTACCCCGCAAACGTATTCGCAACCTCCCCCGGTGCCTCCAAGCGCCCAGCCGAGGCGCCCCCTCCCGCTGGCAGAGGGAAAGCCCTGGTGCCCCCAGCCTTGACTTCATCAGAAAGCTCCCCAAGGACTGGGGCTCTCCCGGGTGCGCGCGCGCCCAGGCACCCGGCACCTGCCGCGGCCCCGCACCTGCCCTCCGCGGGCTCTCGGGTGCGCTGCGACTGAGGGACCGTGGCCCCGAAGCCGGGATTCGGCGGCGCCGGCGGGGAGGGGAGCGGGACATCCCCCGAAGGCGGTGGCGGCGCTGGGGGCGGGGAGGCGGCCCGGGTGCGCGGGGAGGGCGGGGAGCCCGTGGGTGGAGGCGGGGTGCGGGAGGGGTGTGTGTGGGGGGAGGAGGGAGCGGGGCGGGCGGCGGGGAGGGAACAGGAGGGAGGCAAGAAAGTAGCAGAAAGTGAGGCTGGCAGGCGGCGGCGGCGGCGGCAGGAAGTCTGTGCCCGAGCCGAGCAGAAATTAGAGCCAGGGAGGGCCGGCGGCGGCGAGGGAGAGCGAAAGAGGAAACTGCAGAAGAGGAAGCTCTGCGGCAGCCCGGAGCCGCCCGGCATCCCCGCGCCCGGCTTCCCCGCGCCGCGCTCCCCGCGCCACCGGCGCCCCCTCCCCAGCGCGCCCCCGGCCGCCCCGCCGCGCCGCGCCGCCGCCCGCTCGCCGGCCATGGCCCGGGAGAACGGCGAAAGCAGCTCCTCCTGGAAAAAGCAAGCGGAAGACATCAAGAAGATCTTCGAGTTCAAGGAGACCCTCGGAACGTGAGTGGGCATGGGGAGAAGAGGGTGGAGGCGGCCCTGGGGGCGGCTGCACGAGCGGCCCCGCGTCCCCGCCGCGGCCGCAACCCGCTCGCGGGTGCGTCCTTATCGTGCCGCGGGCCGCTCCGCAGAGACCCCCCCCGCCCCCGCCCCACCCTGGGCGACCACGCCGCCGCCGCGTGGGTCCGCGCGCCCCCGGGTGGCACCGCTGCGGGGTGGGCGGGGGAGGGGCGCGCGGGCGGGCGCGCGACTTCCCACTTCCCCCGTCACCCCGCCCTCCCGCCTTCTCCACGCGTGACGCGGGGCTGAGGAGCGTGGCGGCGGCGGCGGTCGCCCGTGCACTGGCTGGATGCTAACTCCTGGTGTGGACCGGAGACGTGGTCACTCGGAGATCCAGCCCGCGGTCATTCCCGCGTCTGCCCTTACCCGGCGTGTGCCCGGGGATCCGCCGTGTGCACGCCACCAGGTGTAGGCAGGGCTCAGGACGGGATGGCCGCGCGGTTCGGGGAAGGATAGGATTTAGCAGCGTTCAGGGGGTCACAGGCGGGCAGAGCAGCTTCTGAGTGTTTGCACAGTACACTCTCACACACGCACACACAAGGATGGGGCCATGCGCGCCCCCACGGGGGGGGGGGCTCCGTGAGTGTCGCTTTCCAGGGGTTGGGTCTAGTCCTGGTGCTGATGACTGCATCTCAGCGGGGAAAGGATCCGGAGTGGATGCTTTCGGTGCCGCTCGGGCCAGCGGAGGGGGGCGGGGGATCCACGGGAGTTGGTTTTTGTTTTGTTTTGGGGTGCCCGGGAGAGAGAGCAGGGCTGACATCTAGGCAGAATTAGGCGGTGCTGAGTGAGAGAAGTCTCAGTGATGGTCTTTCCCTTGTGAGGATCTGTTTTGTGGGTGAGCAACGGGTAATCTGTCAGTGTGCATACGTTCACACACGCGAAGTCGGACTGGAACACTTGGCCAGAGGTTCAGGAAAGTGTGGATTCCACTGGGAAGAAATAGAGGAGGTTTCACAATAAATCGGTGTGCTTTCCTCCCTTCCTCCCACCCTCCCTCTCACCTATCTCTTCTTTCTCCTGCCCACCTTCTTATTTCTGTGGTGGTTTTATTTTTATGATTTTCAATACCTCATTTTCGAGCCCACGTTGTTTTTCCCTCCCTAGGCTCAGGGTCCACTGCAGTGTTAATTTCTCCTCAGTGCACCCCCACTTCTGCAGTGAGTCCCCAGAGGCAAGTAGCAAAGGTGGCATTCCCAACCATGCCCTGGTTCCTGGATCACCCTGGGCCAAGGAGGACTACAATCAGGGTGCCCTGCAGTGGCTGCTGTGATTTTGGGGAAAGCACCTCTGGGTACCAGCTTGTTTCCTTTGTCCAAATGAAATCAGAAAGCGCTTAGCCTTTTAATTAAGGAGTTTCCAGTTAAGAGGTGACTTTGGGCCAAAACTTCAAAAAAAAATGTCTTTGAGGTTTATTCGGGTGGGGGCTTGTGACTCTGAGACCCTCAAGCTACCAAGAAAGAAGAGAAAGTGCCTTTTGTTTGTCATTCAGGACCCACTTTTGGCTGCAGAGGAGGGGACTGGAGGCCATCATGTGTGATGTGTCACTGTCTATGGGGATTCCTGGATGCCCCCCCCCTTTTTTTGCCTGCATCTGCTTGCAGGCAGGCTGGTGGGGTTTCCTTTCTTATGGCTCCCACACCCATGGGTCACCTCTGCGGTGGCCAGGCTGCTGGGCTCTGCCTAGTGACTCCTGCTGAAGCTGGTTGGGGATGGCTGAGGACTTCCACCTTGGGAAGGAAGGATGGGGCTTTGCTGGATGGAGCTGGGCTAGAGCAGCTTCCAGGATGCCCACTGTGAGCAGTGAGCTGGGAGTATGGGTCTCTACCAGCATCCCAAAGTGTTGCCTTCTGCCTTGGAAAGAATACTTTATAAAGGACAGTGCTGATGGGGAACCTAGAAGAGTGAAATGAAATGATCCAGATTTTTAAAATTTATGACAACAGGAATAATCATCATCATCATGGAGGCATCCATTTTGTTTAAGTTTTTGTGTTGATGTAGGGTCTTGAGCTCAGGGCCTCGTGTTCTATTTTCTTGCTCATGGTTTGCCCACTACCAGTTGAACCATGCCTCCAATCTGGCATTTTTGCTGGTTAGTTGGAGATGGCATCTTGTTGACTTTTTTTTTTTAGTTAAGGTTAATTTTATTTATATTTTTTCAGTAATGAAACTATATATTTTTAAACCTTTTAAGTAGTTGTAACAAAGGAGTGGTCGGTCAATGAAGCACTTTATGAATACATTACATCTTGATCAGTATCACCCCTTGCATTATTCTCTCCATCCCTCTCAACTCCACCTCTTCAATTCTTGTATACTTTTCTGCCTGGGCTGGCTTTGAACTCCAGATCTCAGCTTTCTGAATAGCTCCAATGAGAAGTGGAAGTCACTGGTGCCCAGCAGGTGGCATTCTTAAGTGTATACTAAGTACTAGGTATTTATTCTAAGTGTCTTACATGTGTTAAGTCCTCCAACTTGTACAATAACCTTTGATGTAGATTCCTAGTTTAAGATTAAAAAAAAAAAAAAAAACCAAAGGCCTATCAAACACAGGGTAACCATTCATTACTAGAGTTCATACTCAAAACTAGGCAGCATAATTCTTCATTATCTACATGGTGGTCAGCCACTTGATAGGTTTTGTTAGTCCAGATGTGTGATGACAATTTGCTGTGGGCTTGGGGAGTGCCTGTAACTCAGTGGAAAGGGAGAGTAGAGGGCTCACCCAGCAGGTGTGACACTCTGGGTTCTATCTTCAATATAGCACAACAATACAAAACCAATCCTCCCCACCCCCATCAAAACAGAACAAAACAAAAATGAGAAAAACTTACCTTTAGTATTTGGAAAGCTAATTTGAATGTAAATGAAATATAATTATGGAATAATCTGTTAAGATTATGTAAGACTGTCAAAGCTTTTGGAATATCAGTAGCATTTTGGCTTTGCTGGAAGTAATCTCAAGTTTAGGCTGTCTCTTTCATCCTGGGCCAAATCTGGTGACCTTGGACTGAAACTTAATATGGAGGTCACTTCCTGTTCTTCAGTGTGGAGGTTGAGAATGGGCTTTTCTTTCCTTGGTAAGGAAGTCTAGTGTGAGTTAAGGCATCATCAATTATCACTAGAGTCCATTCCCAAAGAACTGTGCAGCTCCAATCCTTTTTTTTTTTTTTCTTCACACCTTCACCGGATGTCTTCTAAGATCGAAGGCAGGAAAGCCCTGTGCCGAGCCAGGCTGTCAGCTTCTGGTGTTAAAACACTTTTGAAATAAAGCATGGTACAACCCCAGGCAGACTCTCGCTGCCAGACATTGTCATCTGGTCTTTAGCTGCCTTATTCCCGGCAGCCTTTCCTCATAGAGTAGAAGGTTTACTGTTGGATACACAGGGGTCAAGCCTTAGGCAGTGTGGCAGGATCTTGCTGGGGTGGAGGTTGAGCCAGGAGGAGGAAGGACAGATGGGGAAGCTAAGAGAGGCATGGAGTCAAGGAGCAGGGTTATTTTGTGGGCCCCAGAAATCTGATATATATCTGAATCAGACCTCAGAATAAAATCCTTCCAATCATAGGCTTCACTTTAGCTTCCTTTAAAATGGAACCCCAGGTCCTAACCCCATCTCTGAGTTAGGTAGGGACTTAATTACTGTTTATTAACTCAACAACCTGTTTTCAGATCCTGGCACACCGTGAGAGCAAATAAATGTTGTGTAACAGTAAATTAGGAATGGTAAACACTTCTGTTGCCATACTGGCGGGGCTGTTCAAGCCATCTCTGCCAGAGAGATCTTCCAGTAATTTCTGGACCATGGGGAGTTAGATCTGGATGGGAAGAAAGCTTTGTGTGGTGGTGGAGACAGATATCTCTAAGACTCCCAGAAGTCACTTCTGTACTTTCTAGGCTATGAAGTGCATGTGACTAGACAAGGCCTTAATACGTGGCTCAGCCAGAAAGACTTCCTGAACATACCTCATTTCAATGGCTTGTCCTAGAAAGTGTATTTTTATCTCTGCAGGGTATGAGTACATGACGGTCATCGACACTGTCCATTTGAAGTTGAAGTCTGTAGGAGGCTGACCCAGCATTGGGCAGGATCTGAGCCTGGGTTCTAGATCTGACTCAGCCACTCAGGGGTTGTGCAGCCTATGGGCTGCTTGGCCATTTTACATTACCTTCTCTGTCTCTCAGCTTCCTCATCTCTAAAACAAAGGAAAGGAGCAAGAAAATGAGATGGTTTTCAAGTGCCATGACAATCCTAAGGTTTTGTGGCTTATCTGTGTCAGGAAAACACTGGTTCTTCAGAGTTTTCACACTTTGTGTGTCTAGGAGGGGTTCATTTCTTCTTGGAGGGATTTTTTTTTTTTTTTTTTGTGCTCATTCTAGGGCTTGAATTTAGTGCTTGGTGTTGTCCCCGAGCTTTTTTCTGTTCAAGGCTGGTGCTCTACCACTTGAGCTATATCTCCACTTCTGCCTTTTGCTGATTAGTTGAAGATAAGTGTCCCACCAATTGGCTGGCTTCAAACCAGGATCCTCAGATCTCAGCCTCTTGATATCTGATTACAGGAGTAAGCCAGGATTACAGGAGTGAGCCACAGACACCTGGCTTAGAGGGACATTTTTATGAAGATGCAAGTATGAGGCAAAGCAGCGGCAATACTCTCTTTCATTAAGTGTCTGCTGGGTGCTGCTAGAGGAGGTAAATAAACAGATATTTCTGTGGAGTATTCATGGTCATTCCTACCCATCTCACACTTACACTTCTTATTCTGAAATTGCTCAAGGAATACACCTGTTGATGTAGGTGATTGATTTGCCTGAAAGCCCAGGGAGGAGATATTCTTAACTTTTCTTTTGGGAATATGTATGTGTATGTAAGGAAGAGGGAGGAAATGCATATTCTTGGCTGATTTAATATCATTTATTCTGCAATCACTCAGAATTGTAGCAGCCACAAGGAACATTTGAAAGACTTACTAAGAGGAAATATTACTAGGGATAGGAAGCCTTAGGTTTCTACCCCAGGGCATCCCAGCTGTAGCATTTGCTATCAGTCTGCATTTCCTCTTGTTTGGATGCATGATATAACTTCAATCTTTATTCATTTAAAAATATCTCTCTAGCACCTGCTATGTTCTAGGCACCAAGGATATTGCTGTGAGCAAATCAGCAAGAATGCCTATTTTCCTGGGGCTTACCTTCCATTGGAGGAGCTCACAAATCCAACAGATAAAGAAAGTTGTGGTGGCACATGCCTGTAATCCCAGTACATATGAAATGGAGATGAGAGGATCATGAGTTTGAGACCAGCCTGGGATACATAGTAAGATCTTGACATGTCATGCTAGGGAGAAAAGCAAAGCAGGGAAGATGGATTTGGGGGGATGTGGGTGACAGTAGCTTGTAGTGGAGTTTTCTGAGAAACTAATAATTGAATGGAGCTCTGGGACTAACCGGAGGCAAAAGGTTTCAGTCAGAGGAAGCAGCTGGAGGCTGGATCTTGCCTCAAGCCCTAGAGACCCAGGGATTTCAAGGCAGTATGACTGGAACTGAGTGTCATGGGGGAGGAAGGTCAGACTGACTTAGGACTGAGGGGAGAAGGAGATGGAGGAGGGGGAGGTGGATGAGGAGAACTGATGAAGGGCAGTGGAGGGGATTGAGCAGAAGATCAATCTGCGCTAGGTTTTTTTTTTTTTTTTTTGTCATGGTCTTTGGGTACTAGTACTGCGGTACCTGGATGAGGAGGGGTAACAGGGTGTTAGAACTAGGTAGGAAGTACTGAGGAGTGACTGGGTTCTGGGTGTATTTTTAAAGTGGACCCATTAGGCATTGCTGGTGGGTTGGGCCTGGGGTATGAGGTTTTCCTGGAGTTGGAAGAATCACACCTTGGGAGGTTTTGCTCAGAATGTTCAGTGTTTTCAGGGCACAGGCTCTGCCCGCATGTTGGGCTTGGAGAAGCTTCTGGAAACAGTTTACGGAGCAAAGCTTATCTCCTGTGGGCTACTGCATTTCTGGGTGAGGGACTCCTGCATTTGAGGTGGGCTCTGGAAAAGGACTTCTGTGGTACCTTCTCTTCTGTCACCATAGGAAATTTTCACAGCAGGAAAATCTGGTCCCTTTGTGTGAAGATGATGCTTGTGCTTTTAGAATGACATCAGTAGGAAGAGCTAGAGCCCTCTGGCTGGTGGGTCTGTAACCTGTAACTCTCCTACTTGACTTGGGAATGCAAAGTGTGAATGTTTGGAAAGAATAATCATCATGGGGACCCTCCCTAGCTCTTGCTCTGCTAGGACACTTTCTATTTGGAGAAAAAGAGCGGAACACTTTCCTTCATTGATAGGAGAGAGTAGACACTGGTATCCTTATCGCAGAACCCAATGAAATGTGGGAAATGGAGTTCACGCTGGTAGAGCTGGTTGTTCCCAAGGCTAATGAGGACTGGGCCACCAGTGTGAGTTTCTGGTTCCAGCTGGGCAGCTAAGTGGACAGTAATTAGGCTTGGCTGGTATGATGGACATTTGTATGCTCTCAGGGGAGGACTTCAGGGGTTAACTTGTTGAATTTTTCTCTGGCTGGGTCTCTATAAATCCCTTTAATCTTTCCTTTCCCCATATAAATCTCCTTAAATCCGCTTCAGTCTCTCCCCTCCTGCTTCGCCTCCTCTCTTCTCTCAGAGGGCTTAGTGGGGAATTGTCACATTACTAGTCAGCTTGCCCAAGGGCGAGGGCAGCAGACCCAGGACCTCTGCTCTCCATCCAGACAGGATCTCACATTTCACAAGGATTAGCAGGAGGCTCAGAGCCCAATGGGGATACACCTCTTTAATTAATGAACTGCCAGTAGGTGGCCAACAACCAGCCTGGTGCCCTAGTCAGCTGACCGCAGTCTCTTTTTCTGACTCAATAGGGCCAGTTCAGCGCTTGGACAGTGAAACCAAGAGGACACATGGACTCTGGGAGATATGCCAGCGTAACTTTTTTTATTTTTCAATCGCTGCAGCTGATACCCCTTTCGCCTTGGACTTTCTGTCGGGTGGGAGAGTACTTTGTATTGGGCTAGTGTTTGGCAAGATTCCACTTGATTTTTTTAAGGTTTATTCTATAATGCATGGATTATTCAGGCTCTGATCTTACCAAGGATAACCACCACATATACACTTAAGGTCAAGTTGATTGCGTGACAGACCAAGTTCATTCCACAGCTTTACTGTCAGCTGTGGGCTCTGTGCTATTTTTCCCTGTACTTTAGCAGAATATAGAAATACAGGGCTCTCTGCTTTCACTGTATTTGATGTTGGTATAATTTGTGGAGGGGAAGGGAAAAAACAAATCGATTAACTAGGGATACAGGTGGACCCATTGCAACAATGAGATGTACAAAAGTCATTATGTTGAAAAACGAATTTTACAACTTAGGTGGGAGGGGGGAAGGATCAGGTGGGGGGAACGGAGGAGTATGGGAAGGGATGGGAAGGGGAAACAAAGAGGAGGCAACAATGCTTGATAAGAAATGTACTCGTTATCTTGCCCATGTAATTGTAACTCCTCTGTACAGTATTCTCACAATAAAAAAAAAAAAAAAAAAGAAATACAAGGCTCTGTCTGTGTTGGTTAACACCCAATCTGAGGATCAGCCTTTAAGACAATGTATTTGCTAAGGGCAAGGAGGCGAGGTGATGGAATGGAATAGAAAGACTGATCCCATATAACCATTCCTGAGGTATGTCTAGATAGGTTCCTCAATCTTTCTAGTTAAGGTGAAGATAAAAGTTACTACTGAGCGCTGGTGGCTCATGCCTATAATCCTAGCTACTCAGGAGTCTGAGATCTGATGATTGAAGTTCGAAGCCAGCTTGGGCACAAAAGTTCATGATAATAAACTACTCAGAGAAAGATAGAAGTGGTGCCCTGATGAAGTAGAAGCACTAGCCTTGAGCAAAAGAAGCTCAGGGAAAGCACCCAAGCCCTGAGTTTAAGCCCTAGGACACACACAAGTTACTACCTCATAGGATTGTTAGAGAGATTCAGTGACATCTGGGAGGTGTTTTTGTTGGTGTTACAGTACTGGGGATTGAACTCAGGGCCTCATGCTTACTAGGCAAGTACTCTACCACTGAGCTATACCCCAGTTTTCTAATTTGTCAGCAAAGGGTCTCACACTTTTGCCCTTGCTGGCTTTGAACTTCATTTGTCTTATTTCTACCTTCCCAGTAGCTGGAATCACAGACATGTGGCAGCATACCTAGCCCCAAATTATCACCCTTCTGTGGATGTATGAGAGCAAGACAAGGGGACCTTGAAGTCAGCATCAGCTGCCAGGTAGCAGTGGAGGTTTGCAGGAGGGTGGAAGCTTGTAGCCCTTGCTGGTTCCCATGGTACAGTTACTCCCTTATGGACCCATGGTTTAAAAATGTATTTGCACAACTCCTGAATGAACAAATCTGAGTTGTGCACACCATGGAAGGAAGGATGAGACTGGATTTGAACTCTAGTTTGAATTCTGCCATCCAAGTAGCAGAGCTTGATCTTATCTTTGCTGGGCTTTGATTATCTTGTTTGTCAAATGAGGATAATTACACCTGCTCACATTTCAGGCTTTTTATATGTCCTCAATGAGATAAGGCATGTGTGGTGCTGGATAGATAGGGAGACCCATTATGAACAGAGGCTATCATTAATCTTATGAAGATGATAGCTTTAGAAAGAATTCTTTCTTATAAATGTTAACATTGTGCTCTTTGAAACCTAGCTCACATCTTTTGTATTGTTTTCCCTCAGAAGCTGACAGCGTCCACTGTGTCCCTAAAGTTCTACAGTGTGTCTTACCTGGCTCTGTTCAAGTGTTATGTTCTTTTTAGTCTTGGGGTTCAAGTCGTTGGAGTCCTAAGAGAAACTTTTAGCAGAAATCATAAAAGCCACACATCTTTTTGGTAAAGAATTTGAAAAGTTGTAAGACTATTGTCTCAGTCCATTTTCTGTTTTAACTGGATACCACAGGCTGGACAGTTTATGAAGAACAGAGATTCATTTAGCTCGTGGCTCTAGAATGCCAAGACTGTGCCTTCTGTATGTGCATGGCATCTGGTGAGGACCTTATTGCTGGTGGGAACCTTCTAGAAAGTCCCATGGCAATACAGAACATCACATGGCTAGATGGAAGAGTCCTTCTCCTAATTCTTTTTTTTCTTCCACATCTCCCTCCTCTTATCCCTCCCCTCCCTCTTTTTCATACTTCTCCTCTCCTCCCCCCTTCTTAACTTTGACAGAGTTTCCCCATATGACTTAGGATGGCCTTAAACTCTTGATCCTCAGCCTCCCAACTGCTGAGATTACAGATGTGTACATACTTGGCTTTTTTTTTTGGGGGGTCCGGTCATGGGGCCTGAACTCTGGGTCTGGACGCTGTCCCTCAGCTCTTCAGCTCAAGGCTAGCGCTCTACCATTAGAGCCACAGCGCCACTTCCGGCTTTTTTCTTTTTGCTTATGTAGTGCTGAGGAATCGAACCCAGGGCCTCATGCATGCAAGGCAAGCGCTCTACCACTGAGCCACCTTCCCAGCCCTGGCTTTCTTCTTCTCATGAGGCCACTATTACAGTCATGGGGTCTCACTTAATGTAATCTCAGTTTACTTCCCACAGGCCTCACCTCTAAGCACATAACCTTGTTGACGCAGCTTCTACATGTGAATTCTGGGGGCACACCTAAGCCATGGCAGGTATAAAGAAGATGATAAGAATGGACTGGTTGGCTGAATGGGTCAAGTTGGCCAGGCCCCTTGGAGTGGAAGGATCTCAGGACATGCCTGGAAGGTCAGCCACGGCGGCACCGTGTGAAACACTGCAGCAGTGGATATTTGTTCATCACCTCTAGTGTTGATGTTTCAGTACTTTGTCAAATGATGTGTTCAGAGCCTGTGCATAGGTTGAATACGGCTCTGAATGGAAGATCAGCCATCTTTGTCGAGTGCTGTGACTTTATGAGTAGTCTAGCTCTTGGTGTCACCTTAGGGGTTGTCCTGATGGTGACATTCCTTAGGTTATTGGCACAGTTAGCATCTCTACCCTCATCACCACCTTTAAACACGTCCCCAGGGTCAGCAGTGTGACAGAACCTGATGCCAAGATGAGACCCTGCCCCACAAACTTCCAGAGAAGCTAATTATACATGTGAGAAAAAGGAGATAAAATTATTCAGATCCAAATGTGGCTGACTGTCCCTGGTTATAATAAGACACAAGAATCTGGTTTCTCTCTCACCTCATAACACAAAGTAAATCCTGACCACACACACACACACACACACACACACACACACACATACACACACACACACACACACACACACACACACACACACACACACACACACACACACACACGCGCCTTTTCTCCCAACCTTCTGGCACTCTAACCTTCAAGCCAGCCTCTCACATTTGGATCTTAAATGCTTCCCTTGTCCCCTCCATGTGTTAAAGCCTTGTCCCCATCTTGCTTCTGTCTAAAGGTGGAAGAATCATTAACAGCTGGGATCCAGTGGGAGGTCTTTAGGCCACTGAGGTGTTCTTGAGGGGATAGTGGGAGTCCAGACTTTCTTCTTTTTTTCTCTTTAGTGTCCTGGCCACAGGGTGAGCAGCTTTGTTCTGCCGTGGGTTCCCATCATGCTGTGCTCCTTTGCAACAGGCCCCAAGGCAACAACCTAGCCTATCTTGGACTGAAATATCCACAAGTATGCACCAAACAAACCTTTTCTCTGGATAAATTGATTATCTCTTGGCGTTTGCCAACAGAAGGCTGACTAATATATTCTCCTTAGAACAGTGTCTTCAGAATCAACTCAATATTGCAATCAGATGTCAATTCCTTTTTTAACTCCAAGGGGGACCAGCTAGATGATCTCACTTTATGGGTTGTGAAACTCAGATACTTTGAGGGTATGTGACCTGTCTGAGGTCTCATGGTTAAGCTAGTCGGCTGGTCATTGCTTTCATTCTTGAAGATCAGGAGATCTAGGGTCTCCTAAGAGGCTAGATTAATAGGTGTTTCCCTTGTGTCTGGCTTACACACTAATATAGAACCTTGCTGGATTTTTTTTTGGGCAGGACTTGAACCGTGATCCTTTTGATATCAGCCTTCTCCATCATTAGGATTATGAGAGTGAACCATTGTGCTTGGTGAGACTTGAGTTTTAAGTAGATAGGGTTAGACACCAGTGTGTCTTCTTTGCAAGGATCTCTGTCTGGAGCCTTCCAAAATACCACTGAGATTTATCCCTCAGGCTTAAAGGATGTTCTCAAGTGTAAGAAATTAAGCATTAATTTCCATTTATAGATCAGGGTGAAGGAGTTTTATGTTTTTAAAGATACTCCTATCTCTGCCCTCTAAGTAGCCAGAATTTCAGTCATGAGTCACCCATGCCTGGCCCCAAATTGGGCCCTTCTTATAAGCCAGGTGGGATTGGAAGAAATTTGAAAACAGCTCTATGTCAGAAACTCAAATGGATTTGTGTGACTAAGGCCACCTGGAAATATACCTTTGTTTATCCCTTGTTGGTCAGATCAGAGAAGAGTCTAGAGAGTCAGGAGGCTGATTGAGTGTTTTGTTTTTAACTCCATCAGATTTTATAGATTGGTTCTACACTATGCCTGGCACTAAGCAAGTGTTGGTAAACAAAACATGGTCCTTTTCCTTAGGGAACTATTTGGATGGACAAACTCAGAATGACAGAGGAGTGTGACAGTGTTTCAATAGTGAGGAACATGATGTACAAGCTGAAAGGACAGTTGTTGCCAAGAAAGTTCCAGAAATCAGAAATGAGAAGGGATAGCACTCCTCTGGAGGCACTGATTTGCGATGAGCCATAGAAATGCAGACAAAGCAGTGCGTGGTTTTAGTAACACTGACAGTAATAATAATAAATGATAATGGTAATAATAATAATAAATGAGGTGGTGGTCCATCATGGCAAACATCTGTTCACATACATAAACACAGTGATCCAATAAAAGAAATGCTTCTGTTATCACCATTTGGGAGATGAGAGAACTGAGACCCAGAGGGTTTAAGTAATGTGACTCAGAACTCATCCCCTTACCTGGGAGAATTCAAATATGAGTAAGTTACTTATCAAGGTCATTAACCATTATCCTAAAGGGTGTACATATTGGTAAATTTTGCCCTAGGTCTTTTATTATTTATTTAATGGCACTGGAATTTGAATTCAGGGTTTTCTGCCTGCTAGACAGGAGCTCCACCACTTGAGCCATTCCCCTAGACCTTTTTGTTTTACTATTTTTTTTCTGATAGGGTTGCCTACTTTTTCCCCTGGGGCCAGCCTTGGACAGTGATCTTCTTCTCCATGTCTTCTGGGTAGTAGGGATGACAGTTGTGTACCATGCATGTCTACCCCCTGGATTGTGTTTTTGTATAGGTACTTGGGCTCAAACTCAGTGCCTTGTGCTCTTGCTTTGCGTTTTCTTTCAAGGCTGGTGCTGTATCACTTCTGCTTCCAGCCTTTTACTGATTAATTGGAGATAAGAGTCTCATAGGCTTTTCTGCCTGGACTGACTGTGAATTGTAATTTTCTGATCTCAGCCTCTTAAGTAGCTAAGATTATGGGTATGAGTTACTGACACTTGGCTTTCCCCTAGATTCTTAACAAAAAATTAGATACATACCCTACCACCCAAAGCAGTATATAGTAACGAATATACACTGTGTTTTAGGGTTCAGAGGGAAGTAATTTTTTTAAACATATTAAATAGCAGGAGCCAAATCTAAAGAGCTGGTAACTGAATTACTTTATAGATTTTTTCTCCTGCTGTGGTTTGGATAAGTGTCATCCCCCCCCCCCAAAAAAAAAATAGGCCCAGCATGTTAAAAGCTGAGTCACCAGCCTGTGACACTATTAGGGGATTGTGGAAGTTTTAAGAGGTGGAGACTAGTGGGAAGAACTTGAAGGGAACATTGGGAAATGAGGCCTTTCTTCTCTTTGCTTCCTGGTCACCATGAGATAACCAGGTGCACTCCCCGCCATGATATACTGTGCTACCACAGGACCCAAGCAAGAGGGCCAAGCAACTCTATACCGAACCCTTTGGCACTGTGAGCCTCCTCTTTTTGAGGAAATATT